AGCCTTAACGCAATAGGCTAAAGACAGAAAAGTTTATTTGCAATTAATGTTTCAGAAACTCTTGAATAAGCTTTTCTGGACATTGTTTGTAGAAGACAACAGGTAAGATAACAAACAACGGAAACAGCGGCTGATATTAGCGACCTGCCATTATATTGTCTTCATTTATGGAAAATGGACCACTACTTGTGGAGTGCTTTTCTACTCCGTTTGAGCACTTATTTACTTATTCAAACACACGTTCATAGAGCATTCTGCAACTTTCCTGTTTGCAACACGTGTTTTAAATGCTTCAAACAACAACCAGCCAATCCGAGCAGACAGTAAGGGAGTCGATATTTAAGCAGTGTTATTATATTATCTTAGTAACCACTGAAATAATTACTCATAGGAAATGTTAGACAAATCTGGTTATGATTTGTGTGTTTGAATGGAAAAAAAATGTCGATCAATGTATCAGATTTGTAATATCACCTAATATCGGTACCAGTATCGGTCTTAAAAATTCTATATCAGTCGTGCTCTCATTGACAATACTGCAAAGTCTGGCTGTTCTTTCTTGTGTCCTTGCTTGGCTGTTTTTGTATGCAGCCAGTGTTCAGTCTGCATCTTTTGCCACCTTTTCTGTACTGCGTCACAATTAATTAAACGTAAGCCCCGCATTGTGCGAGCTGCTGAACGTCGACCAATTAATAATACAAAATTGCTATTTCCTGAAAATCTTCCACATCATTTCTCTAGATTTTTAAATTTTGACGTATGTATGTGTGTTACAATCTTCTCTGGTCCACTCTTGTCTTGTAGTGAAATATCTATATGGTGTATGCAGTAACCCTGCTTGGAAAAACTGTTGCTCCTGCTGCACAATGGATGTACTGAAGGTATGAGTTAAAATGACCATAGTAAGGCAACATTCTATTTCTTTTTCTAAGCTAGCTTTTATTAAGTATCCATATGATCTGGCCTTATCGCACTATAATGTTTACTGGCTTTGTCAGTTTCTCCTTATTCTCTCAGTCGATAAGATTTTCTTTTTAGTCACATAGGAAACATTTCTCGAGTTCAAGGTATAAAAAGATTTTTATTGATAACCAAAAAACCCCCACAAATGTCACAATTTACACATAATCACTATGAATGAGCTGCATTACAACAGTTATATACCTACAGTATGTACATTATTGTCACTTAAAAAATACAAACATGTTCTATCCTGCGAAATGAATAAAAGGCTGTTTCATCATCTGTATCCGACAACAGATAAAAAGTAAGCAAAGAGGAACCAAAATAGTCACAATACAAATAAATATTTAATTAAACAACATATAACACGCTTGCTGATCTAATGTTACGCTTCTTTTTTTTAAATTCTCACAGTGGCTTCCCCACATAAATCTGACAGAAAAAGTTACTTACTGGTTTGTAATCAGTGAATAATTAAATGAATCCACATTTAATGTACTTCCTGTGACTTGTTAGTTTTTGCAGTGCAACGCTGAACAGTTGCAGTTTTGCAGTCTTTACAGCACCACAGATGAATCATGGGTCGTGATGGATCTTCTCTTAAAGTCTTCATCAGTTTAAAATGATTGTTATCCTGTTTAATATATCAGCTAACTACGGGTATGTTTTTGGCGTCGACATACTGAAAGCTTTCCTCCTGAAGAGAAATGATTGATTTCACAGTCTCCGGTTTGCTAGATTTGGGTTGTTGTTGTGCGATGCAGCTGTGTGTGAGGCCTGCTCTTTCCCACCAGGTACGTGAGTCCGTGGCGGCTGACTCTTGCACTGCAGTCCCAGGTTTCCTGCTGTGCTGTTTGTCCCTTTCTGGGAGCAGAAGCCCTTCGGTTTGGGGATTCTTGTCGGTCCTGGACGTCGGAATGCTTCTAGAGGTATCTGCTGAGGGAACAACGACAGATTTTTAAAGTCTCCATTATGACTTATAGCAACAACAATGAGGAAAGAAGTGAATACAGTAGATGACTGCATGAAAAAGAGGTGTGTTTGAAGGCTTTACTTCTTTTCTGGCTGAACTGTGCCCATGAGCTCAGCAAAGACCGACTGTAATACTCATAATGACCACTAGAGGATATCACATCACATTTTATGGACACACTGCCAAACTTTTGCTGCATGACTGCAGTATTTTGTGCTTGTAGCTTAAAAATATGGTAACTTGACATGAAATAGAGCAATTTTCAGTAAAGGAAAAGGTTTCTACTATTTTTAAAATGCATTAAACATCCTTTCAGCAATATCATAATATGTTTAATGATACATTTAGACAGTTTTGTGCAAACTTTAATACACATCAGTGCTTCTTCTGACGAAAACTACAAGTATGGTGAAAGCTGTTAAGTCCAGCAGTTAATCAAATAAATGGTAACAGGTATTTTGAGAATGATTTGATGATTAAATGAAAAAAAAACAACCTTTTCTGCAAACTGCTAATGGCCCCGATATAGTTCCACTTCATCCTGGTAATGATACCAACAGTGTAACTTGTGCTTAGAAACCAGTGCTTTTATATCACAGTCCTCATACGAGGGCATCTCATGAGACACATCGCATTTCGCGTTTTCTTAAACAACTTGCTGCTCCACTTACTGTGCAATCACTTTTAATGAGCATGTTTACATGCAGAGCAGCAGGGCAGCACACTGGGGTGCATCACTTTTGGATCGGTCCTTGCACAGTAGAAACTATGTCCTGTTTACAGTACAGTGATAAGATGTTTCCACAGTTATGAGGAACCTCAGCCACAGATGGCATACTCTGTAAATGTATTTGTAGCATGTTTATTTAGTATTTGGCATTTCAAGAAACGGATACACTGATTTAGATAAACACTGCTGTCATCTAATGCACTTGCTTAAATGTGTAGTTTTTATGCTCAGTAGACTGAATAAGAAAGATGGA